AAGGGGAACAAATTACACGATTCGCTGGAGGAAAATAAAAGATTTCAGATGAATTTTCTTAAACGTCGCAAATTGAATGACTTTTCTGAATTGTACCAGTTTTTCTCGAACCATAAATACTATTTAATTGGATATTTACGAACTATTACTACTATTCTTGTTTGAGTTCATATTTCATGTTAACAAAAAGTGCGCATTATTTGACTATATTCATTTCGATGACCTTCACGGAAAGCTGGCCAATTTAGGTTAAGTAAACATTTGTGAGTACAAAATTATGTGGCAAAAGCATGAACTGCAAATAAACTGTGTACGCTATTTGGTACAAAGCAAAAAGGGCAAACAAATCAAAGTACATAAATACATTTACGAAAAAAAATAATAGCAGAAGTACAATTTAACAAAAATATATAGCAAACAACCATCGTCGATGTAATGCTTACATAGTGACAATAGATGCCATTTAGCCTGTTTTCCTACAATATATGCTTTTTCTAGACAATGTTCGTATACATATGAACGTACTGCATTTATTTAGATAAATAAGCAATTACTAATACATATGTATTTATAATAGTTATGTAAGCACTTGTATTATTTATGTACGTACATGTGTACTCTCCTAATTGCACGTATTCAGCCTTCGGCCGCAAGCAAATTCAATATTGACCTCTAATACAACATACTTGTACAATGGCCATCAGCCGCATGTTGTCATCTTATGGATATGCTAGTGTCTCCCCTATGCTATTGTGCAGCAGCTACATACATACATATGTACTTGCTTCTTTGCTCCGACTTCGCTTAATCTATCTACAAAATTGTCTTATTCGCTATTATTTCCCATCATGACCTGCGGCATTTCGTGTCACTCTAAATGATTTGCTTCCCCCATGAACAATTTTGTTTTTGGTCGACTAGATGATGAGTCGATAATGAGCTGTTAATGACTTGAAAATGAGTTGATAAATATTTCTAATGCATTTATTGTCGTAATACGAGTAGAGTACTTAATGCTGGAAGCGCTCAATATTTGTGTGCTAAGTAAAGTCGGCAGCAGGCATCCGGAGAGAAGAGGATGATTTACGGTATCATGAAATTAGTATCGAAAAAAAGCGATTTCAAAGTTGGAACTCAAAATATCAGTTAAAAATTCTGCATGACTTTTAGAGCAAAAAATATTTAACTCAATTCGAAATATGTGTTAAGAGGGATGGTAACGAAAGCCTTCCAGGACTGAAGGAAAAGTGAAGGGTTTGAAAATTTCTTTTAAAAAATGCTTTAAATTATTTAGTATACACTTACAGGGCAACACTGTGGCAACTATCTTTCAACTCGCCACAGTTTTTCGCGAGACAATCGTCAATAATGGAAACTATCTTGAGAGAGCTCTCCTATCTGCTAACGGGGAGGACTTAGCGCTATTTTGTTTGTCTTTTAGCAACAAATTTTTTAAGTTTAATTAACCTTTCCCCTTTATGTGAGGTCGGTTAAAAATTAAGTTTCAAGAAATCAAAAAAATATTGGTTTTTCTATTTAAATAACTTAGAGTGCCAGTTATCGTCAAAATTCGACAGTGTTTGTAGTTTTTTAAGATCCTTCGAGAAGTTTTCTAACTGTCGTTTAACTTATTTTTAAGGTATAAAATTACTTACCGGAAAATATCCTGCTTTAGCACTAAAACGCTACTACAATTTTTTATTTATTTGAATGTATTTGGTGGACTTTGGCAGGACTTGGAATTTACCCAACTGTCGATTAATTTCGATAATTTGATACATATCGATAAATCAATGAATTTCAAAAGCTCTAACTCAACAAAATTCGATAACTCCACTAATTTTGAAGAAATTGTGATAACAGTGCCTTTCTAGGAATCGATACAAATCGATATATGTATCTCGATAACTCGGTCAACTTTGGATACGGTATATTACGGTATAGATATCAAATGGAAGGTCTTTCAGAAAGATATTTAAGAACACTTTCATCAAAAAATATTTCAACAAGAAACAAGGTGAAAAGGAGGATATATATTATTTTGGGAATTTGTTTTAGTTCGACAAATTCGTTATATCGCCTCAACTATTTGACGCAGATGTACAATATTTGGTACATACAACCCTTGAATGAGGATATGTATTATTTTTGGAAATAAGGCTCTCCAGCTATTTGGTGCCGATTAATGATATTTAGCAATTAATGATATTTTAGAAAGCTGGGCAGTGCTACGCCTCATGCGACAAACCTGTTGCCGTTTTCTTTAAAAACATCTGAGCCAATTTAAGCGAAACTTTAAATTATTTTAGCGAAATACACAAAGACGGTTGTTGTATACTTTACTCCAGTGTTTGGACCGGCGGCCTATTACCTGGATTAACCCATAGCATACTTTTTCCCGGTAGATAGATTAGGGACCCATCTATTCGAAAAAATCTCATTCATGGTCCGATTTGTTTGAAATTTGCTGCGTATTGCCCTGATTAACCTATAGGATACTTTTTTGCGGTAAGTGAGGCAAGAACTGATCTATTCGCGAAAATCGCACTTATAGTCCGACGCGATAGGTGGTACCCAAGGCGAGCTATTTCTATTTAAACTTCATGCAATACTTCTCCCTCTATATCTATGTATATACTAGCAAATATCCGACTTGTTTCGCTGCGCCTTTTTGGTGTTGGTACTCCCTCTCCACACATCCAAAACTCTTAGTTAATAGATTAAAGCGCAGCGAAGAACGCAGGATATTTGCTAGTACTCTTATTAAGCTTCATTCTGTCTAAAATTAAATACTTTTACCGTAAATTTGAATTAAGGTCTCTAGGATGCTTTAAAGTTACGCGAATTTTTTCTCAACTTGCATTAAAATAGAATTTGAATTAGCGCTCTCCTACTGGGTTATTTCTTTGTTAACGCGGTGAAGTTTCGTATATACATACATACATATATGTATATGAACATATTTATATATGTAATCGCTCTTTTGTATTTACCATTAGCTTGTTGACACTATCCAAATCACATTTGGAAGACAATTGCCATAGCATCCTGTGACAAATAATTGTAATTTATTTGTTCCTCCTGCTAATAAAAGAACATTTAGCGATAATTACCATATTTCTTACTTCTGCTACAATCAATTTTACTTTGTCTTTCCTTTCCTTTTTCACTTACAGGCCTACGAATACGAGTTGCCGACTTGTTTTTTAAGTTACTAGCATGTGTTCTGTATATACTACGTGTGATAACGGATACGAATCCAACATTTGCAACATGGTAAGTAAAATAATTGATATTTTGATAGAAAAATAAAATGCAATTAAAGCAGATAAAAGAAAACTAATAAACCGCAAACTGCTACTAAAGAGAGAAAAATTTTAAAACTTAAATTGAATGAAAAACTACTAGAGAAGTAAACTAAACTACTAGAGAACTAAAATAAAAGTACAATGCAATTGTGCAAAACCTGAAATTTATTTTCATTTGAATAAATATATTTTTCATTTACTATATTTTCTTCTTCTTCTAGTTATGGCTGCTCAGTGAGCAATAAAACGGAATTTCTCGTTTCGGCTCAACTAACCGAAGAGGAATTCCAGGAGAATCCTATTATCAATTGGGAGGCTATATTATGGGTGAATCGGCCCACAGTGCTGTGGGCAGCGCAATTAATTTTAGCATTAGTATCACTAACGGAGGCAGTACTACTAACATATCTAGGCTATAAGGTGAGTAAAGGTGGAAGTCAATGAAATAAATCAAACAGTAAAAAGCAAGAAAAAGATTTGGCCTTGGGTTGGCGGTTCTACTGAAACGATTTTGAAACCAAAAACACTATATGAAAGGTCTTTCCTGTAGCTGGCAAGAGTTTTTATGGTTTCAAAAATTATTGAAAATACGACCACAATGGTGATGTCAAAATTTCCGTATTTTCTTGTAGTTTTTGTTGAAAGCTCTTCAATGCTAGCGTGCAGAGCTTTTTTAAGCCTTTCATACAATTTATAGGTCAAAGCTCTCTCAGCCCTTTACCGTTTTAAAAACTTATATTGCAACCCTATTTTTATACGTTCTATATAAATTTCTAATATTTCTTTTTTTATTCGCAGGGAAATATCTGGCAACAGATTCTTTCGTTTCATTTCATTCTAGAATTAATTACGACAATACCATTTGCACTAACGGTAAGTAGATACATATGTATATAAAAAGTTAACTCTTATAAAGCTACTCGAATCAAAATATTTGTATAAATTTATTTATTTTTTGAATGACATTAATAATAAGCTTTTCATTGTTTTCTGATATCTACACATAATTTAAGTTAAGGTAGATTAAACTATAAATAATAATAACATACAATAAATTTGTGTGAGCATGTTGCCATAAGCTCTACGCATAGTTCTTCAGACTAGACAAATTTCAGGTTTTATATTACACCTTTGCTCCTTTTTATTGCTGGTAGTAAAATCAGCTACATGTCTATATTTTGTGCACCCCTTTTATATTTCTATGTTTCTTTTAGCCTTGTTTATCAAGCCTTCTTTACATCCATTGTTTTTTGCGGTATTATATATTTTGTACGCTTCTTTTCTTAACGGAGTTCTTTCAACTACCGTTATTAAATGTCTAAACTCTGCGTTTTTCTGCTCTTGGTCGAAGTAGTTTACTATTCCTCCTAGCTTCATTGGTGCCTTTTCTGTGTTGGCTGTTGAGATATTCCAGTATCTTCTGTTCTTTGTTTCGCGCCACAAGACTTATGATATCAGCATTATATCTCGCGTAGGATCCTACTCCTTGTCTGCTCGTCTGCTTGTCTCTCCTCGTTTCTTTCGAAGACGCTGGAGAGGCTAATCGATCTGCCCTTAGGAAGCGCCTTTACTTCGATCAGCATGCCTACTGCTAGGGCAGGTCTGTTGAAACAGCCCTACACACAGTTGTTGAGAGCATCGGGTAGACCTTTTTGCAGAAGGGATCCGCAGTTGGTACCTTCCTTGATATCGATGGGGCTTTTAATAGTATTTTGCCTGACGCTATAGTTAACTCTCTAAATAACTAAGAGATCGGCGCCGAGCTTGTCAGATTTTATTACCGTTTGCTCTGCAACAGAGCTATCGCAGCAGAATAGGGCAGCGCTTTAGTCTGCATATGTGTGAGTAGTAGTGCCCCACAAGGGGATGTTCTTTCATCGCTGCTTTGGGTCGTTGTCGTCAAAGACCTTTTGGTGCTGATTATGCTGATGATTTAGCGGACAGACCACTGCACGCCGGTTTTGGGTCCGAATTTCTGTTTTACCACAAACATTCCAGCGAGAAAGGACTGAGCAGAATGCAGTATCTGGAATCGGGGATCCTGTAAACTTATTTAAAGATGGATCGAAGCTTAGTGGGAATGTAGGTGGAGATTTCTTTTGAGCATAACTCCCCAGAAGCCTGAAATTTGGGCAATCGGATCACTGCAGCGACTTCCGGGCAGAGGAGGCCGCAATAAAAGAGGCTTCAGATTGGTTTCTCCGTACCTTTAAAGGTGGTGAATATTTATTCCGACAGCCAAGCAGCCACCAAGGCTCTTGGCTGCTTAACGGTGCGTTCGAGATCAACGCAGGATTGTTTGACTTCCTTATCAAACGCATCAGGTTACTTCGCTATTAAGTTTATTTAGGTTCAAGGTTCCAGCGAAATCGCTGGAAAATTCATGTCCGTTGAGTTGTCAAGGCATGGAACCCTTGGGGAAGTACTTCCGGATAGAGTAAGTCTGCGTGCTTCCCTGACCTTTTGTCTACCTGTGGACAAATTGACATTTTGGTCAGCTCAGTGAGCTCTGGACGTCGTTTTTTTTTGCGTCATTCAAAACTTGAAATTTCCCCTAGAGTTTTACGTCTCTCATCGGACTAGTTTGTTTATCCTAGGTAGAGCGATCATTAAAAAGATCGAAGGATTCATTCTTGTCACGTGATATGCTTGCTTTGGGCTTATTATTATTATTTTTTTTTGCGTATTGTGATTTTTAATTATTGATAGGGTTTTTACACGCACATATGTAATTTTCGCAAATTTTGTTTAGATGAATATATGTCTTTCAAGTCTCATTTTCGTTATATCCTTCGCAGATACTATGGTCGCCTTTACGAAATCTATTTATACCCATATTCCTCAATTGCTGGCTGGCGAAGCGATCGTTGGAGAATATGTTCGTAAGTATCAAAAATTTGTAAGCTAACAACTGTACTATATATCAGTCAAATTACCGTTCATAATGTAATATAAATTTCTAAATTTCTCTAACTATTATAGAACGATTTGCATCGTGCCATGCAAAAGTCACAATCAGCGCTCTCCCAACAACTCACCATACTCTCCGCCACACTGTTGTGCCTGGTGTTCACAAGGTGAGTATTAGTAAATAGTAAATAAACAGCAAATCTGGTGTCAGTCGACAAGTCAAAATGACAAGCGATTTTCTGGCATATTTACCATTCCAGCTTTCTAATTACTGCTTGTGACTTGCAGATGACTTGAAAAACAATAGGCGAATTCGCGCTTTGTGGCATTATAGCTTAAATGTTGCTACGTAGCAAACTAGCACGCATTTTGTTGATTTTCCAAAAGCATATCGTGAAATCCCCCTTTTGTACTTTCTCCAATAATACGCATATATGCCAATACTACTTAGCAATCTCATCACGCAGCGGCACTTACATTTGAAAAATCTAATTTTAGTTACTAAGAGCTACTTTATGACTTTTTGCCACTTCTATGTCATATGCGCAATTACAGTTGCTGCTTAAGTCAACTGCTTTTGCATATTTATTCTCCTGTTTTTGACCCACTCGACCTCTCCTTATCATTAACAACACTCATTGATACTAGTCCTTTTTTGTACTAATTTCTTCTGCTCTTTCTACATATCTCATCCTTCTACATTTCTACATTTACAGCGTCTGTGGCATACAGCATTTTCAACGCGCCGGTCATCGTCATTTGAATTTGTTTCAGAGCACGTATTATGTGGTTGTGACATTCTCAACAGTCGGTTATGGCGATTTCGTGCCCGATATATGGCCTTCACAACTTTATATGGTGATTATGATTTGCGTAGCACTTATAGTGCTGCCAACGCAGGTGAGTAAAGATGACAATATGTAGTATGCATTGTACATATGTACATAAATGTAAGCTATGCGTAACCATTTACACACAAATACATGACGCCGATGAGTTTAATAATACACTAACTGCCAATAACTAAATGTAGAATCACAGCCCCATGCCCATGTACCAATACTTAGTAGGTATACACTTAAATGCTTGAGCATCAATTTGGGTCAAATTCTTTTTATGCTCCTGAATACTTCTTAGTACTTCATCAATGCGATGCGGGCATTTCTACGTCAAGATAATAGTCCTTTTATGCATTCATTGATATTTGCATTGAATGGCTCTGACAGTGGCGGTTGGCGATAATACGTAAGTGCTCTTAATTAAATATAGAACCGATGCTAAATAACTTACATATGTATGTATGTACTTATATGTATGTATATCTGTGCATCTACGTATGTATGTATTTGTATATTTATATTAGTGTGTTTGTAGTATTGTGTTTGGCTTTAAAATTATTTTAAACGCCAAAGCATATTACCTGAACGCTATTGCTCGACTAGTAAGGCACTAATTTGCTTCGGCATTTTAATTATTTCTGTGAAAATCGTGCGCAATGCACTTATTGACGTTTAAGAATTACCGTTAATGTTTTTCAAACAAAAAAAATTAATTATCTAATGGATTCTGTTGTCACAAGCATTTTTATTAGAGACATAACTATTATAGGAGAAAATAATAAAATCAATAATCATTATATCAAAATAAATATTTTTCGATTCATCTATAATTATTATTAATAATAATAATAACAGATTGTCGCTTACACATATGTTAGTGTTTGGCCGAGCATCTCCTCTGACTTGTGGCGTGCGCCACACTAAGCGGAGGGATCTACCGTTTTCCGCCGACTCCGAACGGCGATTGTATTTTCAAGAGAAGCTGTTTTTCATGGCAGAAATACACTCGGAGGTTTGCCATTGCCTGCCGAGGGACGACCGCTGTTAAGAAAAAACCGTTTTCTATATTTTTTGCGATGCTGCTTTGACCAGTGCTTGAACCCAGGTGCTGATGAGTGAAAGCGTGCACTGCTTACCACTACACCACAGCGGCGGATAATTATTATTAGAGGACTTATATTATAAAAGTCCTTTCATAATAATTATCAGAGAGATAAATATTTTTAAGTCTTCAAAGACTTTTATTTTAAGACTTAAAGTCTTTTCATAATAATTATGAGCGCGAAACAATTTTTTAACTCTTAAAAGACGGGACTTGTTCAGGGACCAGCTCGGAGCTAGGTGGGGCCAGCTCGACACTAGTTGCGGAGTAGTTTAGTAGTAGCAGGGCAGTCTCCAGCACATTCCCATCACCAAAAGAAAGATGAAGCTGGAGACGGCTCAAAACACTGCACTTCGGACAACGACTGGATGTCTTCTGATCTCGCCAGAACACCACCTGCAGGACGAGGCGAAAATGCTCCCCATAAAGGAGCACAACACAATGCTCTGCAAGCAATTGCTAGTAGGGAGCCACAGGCGTGGACAGAACACACACTTCTTGGGGCTACCGTTAGTTGAGTTTTACGACAACGACTGAGATATTAACCGATCTGGGCGCACGATTGAGAGAATACAAAGGTTGTGCCGATCTCGGACCGCTATTCCTCTCTTAACGAATTTGACAGAATCGTTGTTTGCATGACGTCACACTGGTGCGACTTGTTTACGTTTTTCTTGCAACATTTTTTCTTCTTCTTCCATTCTTGCTCACGTTTTGGCATTTCTCTCTCGCAATTGCACCAGTGTGACGTCACACAAAAGTTATTCTCAAAAATCCTCTCTGATCGGCGCAATCTTGTATTCTATCATTCTTGATCTGGGCGGGGTTGTTGTAGGCGCTACAACGACAACAAAAGCAACAACCAAAAGAAAGAGAAGAGGTGAGAGAAAGCAACCTTCTCGAACACTGCTGTGAACTTCGTAGCACTTGAACGACTGTCCTTTGTGAAGTACCTAGCTACGAGGTAGGCTTGCCCAAAGGCACGAACATTATCGTAAGCCTTTTCGAATAGACAAACAAAAAACGCAGATCAGCTATGATATCGGTGCACTGTGCAATGATTATTCTCACTGTGTTTATTTGGTATGTGGAAAACGCAGTTACCACGTCAGTTATCATAATCGCCCAGCTCATCGTTTCCCACGATTTCGATAATAATGCCATCAGTCCACTCATCTAAAAAGAGGGCGCTATCCCAAGCGGCGAATTTTTGGAGAAACTTTTCAAACCCCGCTGGTATTCCATCCGAGCCTGCTGCTTTATTGTTTGGGAACGATTTCATGGCAATAGTCAGTTCGAAAGCTGTGGGCGCATCTGGTTTTATACCGGCGTTGGTTTTTCAAACGAGTCAATTCTTTGGCAAATGTGGTTCAGAACTGACGCACAGCAGATGTTTTGGGGGAAGTAACCCACACTATTTCCCCACAGTGTCAGGGTGCAATGTCGCTTACCGTTGTGAGCAGTGTGTGCCCGCACTACCTCCGTAAGTACTTCGAGAAGGCGGACGGTACGGTTTTATAGGAATATAAGTAAGTACTTACCAATTAGAAAAAAATGTATTGATCCAACAACGAGGAAAATAACTAAATGAAGCGGGTTGGATTTACCGTATTGAACTCGGTGTTAGCCTTCTTTATTTATAATAAAGTTCTTAATCTAATTCTTGGCTAATATAAAAGTTTTTTGAACTTATAATTTAAAGCTACGTACTAATGCCGAATTTCCACTTGGCCTTAAAATGACAAAAAATGTACGCCATTTCAAAAATGTCATGTGGAAACAGATAACTATTTTTATAAATATAATGACACGGTTTTATTTTTTTTAATGCCCAACATTTTCATAAAAAAATTTGCCATTTAATACCTAGTGAAAACTCAGAATAAGTTTCAATAATTATGCATAAATTCTTTACAATATTTGCGCAATTAACTTCTGTCTTAGTCCAACAATTTTTTTTATATCTATTTAATGTTATTTTCTTTTTTAATTTGCTTACATCAATTCACTTTTAATTTAAGCCGAATTTCCACCAGGCATCGCAATGACAAAAAATTAACATATGCCATTTAAAATATGTCATGTAGAAACAGACATAATGACTAGTTTTATTAACGAAAGGTGCGAGTATTTTTAATACTCAACATTCTCATTAAAAATTTTGTCATTTCATGCCTAGTGGAAATTCAGCATTAGAGTTTTGCATATACATTTTTTATATTTTCCAACATTTTTTTCTTTTTTGATAATTACACATAATTATATTTAAATAATATACTGCAAAGGCGTGGCAAGGCAGCAAATATGATGGCTGCTTCCTGTCATGTTGATTATTATCGTAGCGAATGACGAGGATATGGCTCGAATTTGATCTAATTCAATAACTTTATGGTCGATGGTCTTCAGCACTGGATTGTTTTGGGAATACTTCCTTCGTTTCGCCTTTTAAATAATTGTAGTGCAAAAATCTACTGAAGCCCACAAAATCTCACCAGCAACATATACTTCCGTGGAATTGTTCTTCGCTCATAATGGTCCCTTGATCCAAATAAAACGTGTTTCTTTCTGGTGGCTTTTGCAAACTTTTAAAGAACCACATTATTCTGCACTTTAAAGGTTAAGCCACCATCTCTTGCTTTTTATTTGTCGATTTGGGCCAAAACAAAAAATAAAAGACTTCATGAGTTGTTCATTCCGAGTATGGAATGGTGCGTCTTTGCATTCTTTCGTTGCCCATCCATGGGTTCCAGGACGATGGACCTTTTCACTGAAGCGTCATAATGAATGCATTCAACATGTGCAATCATTGTAATTTTCTAGGCTTTATTATGTTCATATCATTTAAAAGCTCGCACAATTCGTCGTATCGTCTTCTTCGGTACCCGTTGCCTTCGAGAACAGGGTCATGGCTCTTACGTAGAAAACTTCTGTCGAAAGCCCCAGAGCCTTGTCATCTTTGTTCAACATCGCCCATCTTTGTGTACTGTATTGTATAGAAGTACGGACATGATGAGTGTTTTATGGAGTGTAACTTTTCTTCGCCGAGAGAGGGTTCTGTTTTGAAATGACTACCGAACCTAAAGTAGCACTAGATTGCAGGAGCGATTCTTTGCTTGTTCTCCAGGCTGACATTGCTGGTGGTGTTTATGCTGGGTCCAAGGTAGACAAAAAGTCCTTCACTACTTCAAAGCTTGAAATGCCAACACTGGCATGTGTTTCAAAATGCGAAGTAATTTATTGCATTACCAGAAGCTAGTTATTTTTTTCATCATTAGCCAAATAAGACCAAATTCTTTTGCTGCTTTTTCTGAAGAGGTGAATATCATTTGTATACGCCGGTATCTTTCCACGTCGTTCTCGTTGAAAACAAGCTGACTTCGGTTAATCACTGGCCGCTGGGCGCCTTCACTATTGTCCACGATTCCGTTAAATTCAGAGCTGTAAACACAGACGATGATGTTCATTGATAACCGCGTTAGCCTTACCATGCCATCATCTTCAAGAACTTATCCTGACTTAACCCTTGTTAGATATACTTTTATTTTCAAAATACATTTCTTTTAACCCTTTAAGGGCAATAAAACTGTACTTAAAAAAATTAAGATACTTATAAATTGCGAACTGTGATTCACCGTGTGCTTAATAAACAAAATCTGCCGAAAAAAAACAAATTTCCATGTGAACAAGAATATTTTTACATAAAAATATTTCACTCATATATTTCTTTACGGAACTTTAGTAAATTTTTTTATCTTAAATATTATGAAAATATCTACATAAAAAAAAATTAGGCGATTATGACATTCTTTACTACAAAAATAAAATTTGTTTCACATTTTTTAATTTTCAATAAAAAGTTATTTTAATAAATTTTTTTTTCTTTCAAACTCATTATCTTCCAAATAGTACTTTTACTATTGGAATTAAATTTGAACAAAATTATTATTTTATCGGAAAAT